GGCTCGTGGCATTATTGGCGTAATTGATGTTATTGCTTTGATCATTATTTGGTCAACTTTTGGAATTTTTTGAGTTGTAAGTAAATTAAAAAAAAAAATGTACTTGGGAAACAACAAGTCAAGTAAATTAAAAAAAAAAAAGTACTTGGGAAACAACAAGTCAAAATATCAATTAAAATAAGTTAAATTACATCAATAGAAGGATGTTCTATAGTGAAGACAATCGCAGTATCTTAACTTAACAAGAATTAATTTGCCTCTAGAAAACATCGTTCAGAAATTCAGGCAATAATATCAATTACTGATACAATAATCCAATATTTTTAGTGTGTGTGGAAAAGACTGTAGCTTTCTTGCTATGTTGGAAGATTGTTGAACATTTAAGAACCCCGTAACCGATGTCAACGGCAATTGTTTCCGTTATAAAACATCTTTCATAAATTTAAACAATAACATAAATTACATCGATTATGCCACGTCCACATTCTCCCATTGTGGATTCTACTTCTCACTCTCGCATACGTCTACAATATAGCAGTTAGAGTTCTATGACACAGGCCGACATACAAATTTTTCAGTACTTGAAGTTTGTTTGTGTATACTATCTCTATATTGTTGTATTGTAGGCGTATGAGAGAGTCAGAAACAGCATCCACAATGAGAGAATGTGTGCGTGGCATAATCGGTTTAATTGATGTTATTGCTTTCAACTCTAATTGATAAACTTTTCGAATTTCTTAGAACTGAAATCCACAATGAATCACGACCTTAAAAAACGAATGCCTAATATTGAAACTTAAAAGAACTACGTGGACTTTGATTCCCAATATAAGGGGTACGTAGGCACCTTAATTGACATGTGATATACTATACTTATTAAATGTCAATTAAGCTCAAGTCCATTTTTTTTATCAACTTTAAAATATCCTAACGTAACAAGAATTAATTTTCCTTTACAAAACATTGTTCAGAAATTCAAGCAATAATATCAATTACTCCAATTATTCCACGCCCATAGTCTCCATTGCTGTATTGTAGCCGTATGAGAGAATGCGACGCCTGTTCTACAATGGAGATTATGTGCGTGGCATTATTGGCGTAATTGATGTTATTGATTTGATCATTATTTGGTCAACTTTTAGAATTTTGTTGAGCTGTAAGTAAACTAAAAAAAAATACTTGGACTTTCATTTCTAATTTAACAAATACGTAGGCACCCTAAGTTAAAATATAAATTAAAATAAGTTAAATTACATCACCAGAAGAATGTTTATAACGGATACAATCGCAGTTAGCATCGTTTACGGGGTTCTTAACGTTTAACAATCCTCTAACACTGCAAGGAAGCTGCAGTCTTTTTCACACACCACTAAAAATATTGGATTATTGTATCAGATTAAAGTGAAGTGTTGTTGACCGAATGTAAGCTTACCGGTATATTGTTCTGCGCATTCACATCACTTTAAATTGAGTTCATCGTCCCCGAGGATGACTAAGTGCGTGTCATATTACTCTACTTTATGCTATAGCAAGTTTATTAGAGAGTTGAAAACATAATATATAAAGAAGACCGTGGGCGTGGCATCATTGGTGTCATTTGATGTTTGTTTATTAATTTGGATACCAACACGGCGGCACCATACCGACACGATTCAGCTCTCGGCATCTTCTCCATTGATTTTCCACTCCACCAGATTGTAGAAGTTCAACATCAAATAAAAACAATAACATCAATGACATCAATGATCCCTCGCCCACAGTCCTCTTTATATATTATGTTTTCAACTCTCTAATACACATGCTAGAAGGGTAAATTAGATAAATTTGACACAAACCTGGCCATTGTCGAAATTCTTACTGAATTTTCCAGGAAATGATTGCAAAACAATATACCGGTAAGCTCGCATTCGAGTCATCCACACTTCACGTTAGTTTGATAAAATCCTCTAATAGTTCTAGTGTGTGTGAAAAAGACTGTAGCTTTCTTGTAGTGTTGGATGATTGTTGAATATTTAAGAACCCCGTAACCGATGTTAACGGCAATTGTTTCCGTTATAAAACATCTTTCTCAAATACATATCTTAATTCAACAGTATCTTGAGTTTCATCAACGTCATCATGCAATCCGACTCCAATACACAGTCTGGAGTAATATATCCGTTCTTTTTGTTAGTATCCTCAAGCATGTTACTTAATAGATGTTGCCCAAGTTATCATCTTTGCTGTGCAAGATGTTGATACTATTATTCCACAGTCCCATACGGGTACATACCTTTTCACGCATAACTGGTACCGTTGGATAATGACATAAAACTAATGTCAAATGTTGATGACTCAACTGCAAGTTTACCATAACATTATTTTGCATCCCTTTTCTCGACATTGAGTACGTATTCAAAAGATAACTAAGTCTGTATAAGCGTTCTGTTGTTTGTGTTATTGCAGGCGTAATTTAGCATTGAAAGCATAATATGTAATGGAGAATATTGACCTGATATCATTGTCCTAAATGAAGTTAATGTTTTGAGTTCATCTTCTAAAGTTCAAATATTAACTCAAAAACATTAACAACAAAAGGGAATTGTGATGTCACGTCAATATTCTTTATTATGTATTATGCTTTCAATTCTAAATTTCGCCTGCTATGGCACAAACAACAGAACGTTTATACATACTTAGTTATCTTTTGAATTCTTACTTAACGTCGAGCAGAGGAACGCAAAATAATGTAATGATAAAGTTGCAGTTGAGTCATCAACATTTAACATTAGTTTGATAGCATTATCCAACAGTACAAGTGATGCGTGAAAAGGTATGTACCCTTATGGAATTGTGGGATAATAGTATCAACATCTTGTACGCCAACGATGATAACTTGGAAGACAGCTTCCGTTAAGTAACATGCTTGAGGCCGCTAACAAAAAGAACAGATATATTACTAGAGACTGTGTATTGGAGTCGGATTGCATGATGACGTTGATGAAAATCAAGATATTGTTTAACTAACATAGTAAAATTGAATTTCGCAAGTCCTACGAAATAACACTATACCGGCGAAACCGCCGATCAATCAAAACCGGTAATACATCTCAACATATTTTTTATTTACCAAAAAAAATANAGATAAGTAGATGGTATGTTACAACCAAAATTGTCCCAAAAAAGAGTGCGCTTAGGTAGTGTTTGGTTCGAGGGATTTGGAGGGGAGGCCAGGGGAGGGGATGGAAAATTTTAGTTTTCTCTTGTTTGGTTGAAAAATTAGGAGGGGAGGGAGAGGAAAATTTTAAGTAAATTTCCCTCCCCTCCCTCACTTTACCTCCCCTCCAAAATTGGAAGGATTTGGAAGGAAAATGTGTTAAGATGGTGTGAAAATACCATTTAGTCCCTACTTTCAATTGTTTTTTATTTTTTTATCTTATTTCACTAAGGGTAAGTTTGTCATTTTAATTTTATTTTCCCTTCCTTTAATTTTTGAACCAAACAAGGTTTACTATTTTCCCTCCCTTCCCCTCCTGAATAATCCCTCCAAACAAGGTAAAATTATTTTACATCACCTCCCCTCCCCTCCCTTCCCCTCCATTAAAATCCCTCCCCTCCCTTCCCCTCCATTGAACCAAACACACCCTTAGTGTGCTAACCACCTCTCTTTTTCGTCAAACCACAACTTACCGAGAAAAAATTCAACCCAAATTGGCAAAATAGTAATAACAGAGTTTGGTGAGGGTAGTACGAGTAAATTGCAACTACTCTTTCTAATTCCTGACTGTCACTTTTTTTCTTTTTTCTGCATCCATCTGGATATGAACACCATAAAATAAAAGAAATCGTTTAATTAATAAAATTATCAAGCATCTCTCTCTGTATTTGCTCATATCCCTTTAAGATTAAGGTATTTTTACGATTATTGGCAGTTTAATTATCAGTTTTCTACAGTATAGCGAGCCAGGTGCAGTGATCTGCATAAGGGTTCCTTCTATTTCGTGTAAAAATTGTATTTTTATCCCTTTTCTAATATAAAAAAAGGAATCTTTTCTTGTGGGCTAGGTTACATAGTCATTAATTTTTTTTTCTTATTAGGATCGTCCGAAGTCCTCGTTGATTTTTCACCTGAAGGTGATATTTGTATTGATTTTATCTACTGTTCACGATTTTGTTGTTTGTCTCAGATGTGAATATGTTTGCAAGCTCTTAACTTGTACCGAAAGTTTCACTTTTTAAGGAGTTGATGAGACATAAGAAGGTTTTTTAGGTAGCTAATATTTATTTCTCTTTGTTTTGTTTATTTGGATATAATTTAAGTTATGTGATTATTAACATCTATCAATGAGTTGAAGCAAAAAAGTTGAAAGTTTGGTCCTTTCGAGGTTTGAAGATAATATGGGCTATTTACTGATATAACTGGAGTCAATTTGTGTAATTTTCACTTATGGGGTTGTGTTATTGGAGAAAAATTTGATTTTTGTCATTTGCTCTGATGACAAATTGGTTTGAAAGGATGATCGAGGTCTGTTATTAAATAGATGCACATTAGTCATTTTGTTCGGTGAAGCTGCCTTATTCTGGATTATGAAAAGGGTGTATCTCCTTTTGGCTGAAGTCAATTGTTAGGCTTGTTTGTGTTCTCATGTTTAAAAGACTAAACTGAGGTTGTCCCCCTGAAGTTATACGGGCTATATGGAGTGCTTACACTCTTTTTTTGAAAGTGGAGATGAAGCACTCGGGTCCATGCCGATTCTTGTTCGTTTTGTTGCATAAACTTTACTCTTGTCTACTAATTAAGGTGGTTGCATGCATTGAAGTCATTCATGCAATGCTTTTACGAAGTAGCGAAATTCCTGAGTTGTTGCTCTGGAAATATGAACAAGAAAAACCTTTATAATTGCTTTAGTCGGTGTTTTTAGTTTCTCCCTTGAGCTTCACCCTGTCCACAAACACATAACGGGTTTAGTTATCTTTAAAAATTGTGAACTCTTCCCATAACAGTTGTTTCTGTTTCGCAGGATCTTGCAAAAGAAAATAAAACCCCACTACAGGTTATCTGTATATTTCTTAAGAATTATTTCGGTTATTCGAGCAAATGTTGGTAGCTTTTTTTGAGTTCTACCCATAATTGAAACAGTCCTTTTATTTTTTATATTTTACTTTTGTTCATTTGGATTCAGTTGCATGTACAAATTTTTTTCCCTTCCCTCATATGCGCGTTTTTCAACTATAAATTATTTACACCTCGTCCCATTTTGGCATATATCAGGAAAAGTAAAAAAAGAATAAAAAAAAATCGATGGAATCTTCTGAAGAGACGGGCTGCCAGGCCCGGGAAGGCCCGATTCTCTGCATCAACAACTGCGGCTTTTTTGGGAGTGCGGCCACCATGAACATGTGCTCCAAGTGCCACAAAGACTCGATACTCAAACAGCACCAAGCCAAACTTGCCCAAACATCCATAGACACCATCATTAATGGCGGCTCGACCATCCAAAACGAGCCTGTTGTTGCAGAATCTCCCAATCTTGAAAAGCCCATATTAAAAACCGAAATCGCTCGACCTTCGGGAGAGAATCTTGAGGTGAAGGCAAAGGAGGGACCCAAAAGATGCGCCAGCTGTCACAAGCGTGTGGGTCTGACCGGGTTTGACTGCAAGTGTGGGTCCCTCTTCTGTTCGGCCCACCGTTATGCGGATAAGCACGAGTGCCCGTTCGACTACCGGGCTGCGGGCCGTGATGCAATAGCAAAGGCGAACCCGATTATTAAAGCTGATAAGCTCGATAAGATTTAGAGAAAAGCGTGTGGGGTTTTTGAAAGTTGAATGAGTTCAATTTATGATGGTTTGATTGTCGTTTGTTGCTTCTCTTTTTACGTTCTTGGTTTGGATTTGGATTGGGGTCGGGCAAGTGCACGGAGGCTGGGTGTTGTGATTTGTCGTGTTTTTTGAACTCTGGTGGGTTGTCGGTTATTGGTTTTAGGGTTCAGACTTTGGGTTTGCTCCAGTGTTGTAAGTTTGGTTATTTGCTGGCTCTGTTGATATGTTATTCTTCGCGTCTGTCTTTTTTTTTTCCTTCATTGTTGGTCTTTTTTTATTTTTAAACTGTTGCGTTTCGTGTTGTTGCAGTGTAATGCTTCTGCTTAAAAATAAGGGGAATTTACCAAGTTTCTTTATTTTAATGGGAAAAAAAGAGTGAATTTTTGCAGAAGTACCCAAAAAGGAAAATGAAAATCGCCGAGAAACATTATTGCACCATCACAAATTCTTGTACGAGGTTGATTAATGGGAAGGTGAATCTAACAATAATGTTAAGGAGCCAACTGTTGGCTCCTTAGCATTACTGGGTGAATCAATCCATTATACCTTTTTAACAAAAAATTGTATGCATATCTTAAGAAATGATATATTTTTTGTTTATGATGCTTTTAGAATACTGCGAGTTTGAAAGTATGTAATGTGGATCTATTGGATAACTTATAATAATAAGGGTGAGCGAAACTGAGTTGAAACCTAAAAATTAAACCGAATTGTGCAATTCGGTGCGGTTCGATTCGATTTTTTCCTACATTGTGGTGTGATTCGATTATAGGTTATCATAATTTTGATTTTCAATTTTTTTCTGGTTCTGTGCGGTTTGCACTAAATCGCACTAAATTGAATAACATGTTAGAAAAATCGAGATAAAATGAAAAATCGAGCTGAACCGTGCATATCCGCGCGGTTCAATTCGCTTATTTTAGTGTAGAAAATTTTTAGTTCAGTTTTTTTAAGTTTGCAATGCCGTTCGGATTTTTTTTTTTTTCTAGGTTTGGTTTTTGGTTTTTTGCGGTTCGGTGCACTTCTTCACCCAACCGCACCGTTGCTCACCCTAGCTTATAATCGCTAGGACAGCCTGACTAGAATGTTGTTGATCGAGTTACATTTGTTCTTTAGTTTATCTAATTCGGTTAATATATCTATATGCTATGAAACGTCATACTTTTTTTTTATATTACCTTTTAGAATATGATGTTCGAATGAAAGTATATACATTACTTGGAAAATATAGTTGTTTAATGGTTGGATCTGTCTTAGCCTCCTTGTTGATCATGTTAACTGTGTTCTTCTGTTTATCTGAGTTGGCTAGTACTTGGCACTTCCATCTATATACACTTGTAAAACTAACTGTTCATTGTCAGAGAAGAAACTTACCAATAGTCTCCACACAAGCACACCCCATCCACAATGTGATGAAACCTACTCTTGTCCCTAATCAACACCTCCCTCCCATAAACCAGAGACACAAACTTGGCAAAGTTATGACAATCCACACAAATCCTAAGGTTCTTCATGATCCTTATAGCCTTCCCTTCACAAACACTCATCATCCCAAAAGCCAAAGCCAATTTCTCACTATGCCCCAACAACATCCTCTCCTTCTGCTCCTCATCGACATCATACAAAACCGAACCCAAATCGGGACAGTATCCGACCCCCTTTATCCTCTCCGACAATTCTCTCACCTTTTCGAAAATCTCCTCTCTCCTCGAATGAGACCTGTCGCCAGCAAAGAACGTATGAATCGTGCGCCCCAATTCAATCCAACTCTTTCCGGGCTCTTTCACAACGGCATTCCTTTTCATCAGCTCCCTCGTTTTTCTAACTTCGTTCCACTTTCCATCCGAAGCGTATAAGTTGCAAAGGATCACGTAATTCGCCGAGTTTTCCGGCTCCATTTCAAGAAGCTTATCGCCCGCGATTTTCCCGATGCTTACATTCTTGTGGGCTTTACATGCACCTAACAGAGAGCTCCAAATAGCGGCATTGGGCTCGAAAGGCATCTCCTTTACGAAACGCAAGGCCTTCTCTAACTGGCCAGCCCGCCCAAGAAGGTCCACCAGACATCCATAGTGCTCGACACTAAGTTGGGCCGAGTCAATCTCGTCAAAAATTCTGAGGCCCGTTTTCTCCATCCCTCCTCCATGGCTGCAGCCCGATAGTACGGTCAGAAAAGTGGTCCCGTCAGGTTTGACTTTATTTTCTTGCCTCATTTTGTTATAAAGTTCGACGACGGTTTTACCCATCCCGTGCTTGCCGTAACCCGCCAGCAGGGCATTCCACGAAACTGAGGTTCTTTCGGGCATTTTATCAAACACCCGTCTGGCGTAGCAAAGGTTTCCGCATTTGGAATACATATCGATCAAAGAATTCTGAAGGATGGTATAAAACGGCAGTTTTGACCGGAAGACTTGGCCGTGGACTTGCCTTCCGTACTCAAAGGCAGCAAGACCAGACAGTGCAGATAGAATGCTTGCATATGTGACATGGTTGGAAGCCATGCCTTCTCTCTGCAACACACGGAAAAGCTCGAGGGCCTCGAAGTCGAGGCCCGACTGAGCGTAGCCCGAAATCATTGCGGTGCAAGAAACGACATCTTGGTCGGGCAAACGGTCAAAAATGGCCCGGGCTTCACGGGCTTTTCCGTATTTGGCATACAAGTCGAGAAGCGAGCTGCCTACGTACACGTGGAATTCGAACGGGCTCTTGGCAATAAGCGAGTGGATTTGCCGTCCGTGCTCGAGCCCGTGGGGGCCCGCAGAGGAGGTGAGCACGGTTGCGAAAGTGAACTCGTTTGGGGATGTACCTGTAACCTTTTTTAAAATGTTATGGCACCATCAGAAAGGAAATCAAGAATAACTCGTTCTGATAACGACTGAAATTACGACCAAAGGTGACATCTTTGCGAGGAGAAAGTGAAAATGTTCTTTAATTTTTTGTATACAGAAAGAGCCAATGTTCAGTGTTTACCTGATCTCAGCATCTGAACAAAGAGGCCAAGAGCTTCGGAATGGGACCCACTTTTGTTGTACCCAGAAATCATGGCGGTCCAAGAAACCACGTTTCTTTCACGCATTTCGTCGAACACCATTCGAGCATCGCCCAGCAACTGGCACTTCAAATACAGCACGATCATCCTCGTCCTGTGGTGCACGGAGGGAAGAAAATGGGTCTTCATCATGTGAGCCTGCACCCTTTGGCCGCCTCTCAAAGATTTTTGGTTCACGCACTCGTTCAGGACAGCATCGTAGTCTTTGAAGTTCGTGTCAAGACCCCAAGCTGACATTTCTTGCAATGCCTGGTTTAGGTCGTCCAGCGACTGTGTTGTTAGAGGATGGGATTCGAGAAAGGGCGTGTTTGTTTGTTTGGGATGACGACAAGAAAATCTGAACATAGTTCTAAGCATAGTTTGCTTTGGTGAATGTGGCCAAGTGCTGGAGTCTAAATTGGAGAAATTAATGTAAAATGTCAATCGATGGATTTCATCCTTTTAACTGCTGATGAAAGAAAGAATGGAGGTAAGTCCGTAAGAAGATGAAAATGTCTGCCGAATTTATAATTCCTGACATGCAAAAAGATGAAGATGTGGGTATCATCCGGGTAAGATTAGTGTTGTTAAACGGTTATTGCTTCGTGAAGGCTCGAGAGTTCATTTAGGCTCAACTTGTTTATAAACGAAACTTGTTTATAAACGAAAAGCTCATTTTGTTAACGAGCTCAGCTTGACTCGACTCGATAAGACTGAAAAATAGATTTTTCAGACAATTTTTTATAATTTAACTTGTTAAAAATCGAGATCGACTCGTTAAGACTTGAATTCAGCTCAATAATGATAAAATAGCTTGAGCTCGATTTATGGCTTGTTTACTTAACAAACTAAGCATAAGAGCTAATAAACAAACGAGAAATCAAGCTCGAGGTCGTCTTTCGTGCATTCAAAAAATAATCATTTTAGCAAAAGAACTTTCTTTTTCTTTTTCTTTTTTTTTTTTNAAAGAAGTTAATATAAGGAAGACACAAGGAAAGGAAAGTGAAGCCAATATGCAAGACCAAATATGATCTGAAAGTTCGATATATTAGATTAACATTCAATAGAAGCCGTCCTCAATGTATTACCAGCTTACCACTAAAAATAGTAGTGTTGAACATTACAATATTTATATAAATTGGCTAGCCAAGTTTCGTCTTGACAAAATAATTAAGGATTTTCCATCCAGCAGGCAATTAATTGTGCGTGTGTGTGGAAGTCCAAAGCTCAATACTCTGAGAAACATGAGATGAACTCCCCAATTTTCCCACTAAATACTCTAGTAAATATATTCTCGTATATACAAAAAACTAGCTAATCAGGAAACTCTCGGTCTTCACCTTTACAGCTCCATTTTCAGCTGACTCGAGTGCATCGATGCTGTGCCACAACACCAGAAGAAAATAAAGTTAGATACTAAGTTCCCGCAGAAAATTTAGGTATACACAAAAATGTTGGGTTGTAAATTTTGATAAAGGGATGTTAGGTCATTTGTAATCAACCTTCTTATGGAGAAAACATCACAAATTCGATAATGGAAAATTTTAAAACCATAATCAGACAACGGGTAATAAAAGTGAGGTAAAATAGAGGGGAAAGTGGTTATTTGTTAATGGAAAGTGAATTTACCGGAGTTTGCTGGGGAGTCGTAGCTTAAAAGCGAGTGATCTTGATTAATAAAGTTAGAGGTGTCTTCTTCTCTAGCCCATAAAGACTGTTGAAGCCCGTCAACATGCAACTGCTGGTGATATCTGTTAGTGTTGATTTGTCCCTCGGGCCAAACAGGAGGATCAAACATGCCAGCGTAGCTATTATCCATCGATGATCCATTCTAGAATTGCACGAGAAGTTAACAGGTTAAGTAGGCAAAATTTGAAAACTGATAGTTTGGCACTGACTTAGAAGCTTTTGGCATCATAATCAAGCATATATAAGAAATATGTATCGAGAAATTATTGCATATTTTATCTTTATTATCTAACCAAATTAGTGAAAAGAAACTGTAATAGCTCGAGAGACTTACTTCTACAGCAAGGAGAGCATCAAGGTTGAAATCAACTCTTGGGTTGACAGCAGCAAGTCTCATAGACAAGAACTGATGCGAAAAACAAACATTTCCAATCAGGTAGAGTGTATTCAAAGTGCAATAATGGGGTTTGAATTATATGCTCTGATTTTGTGGCTCCAAGGAAAGTTCAATATGCTCTGATACATATTCGAATGGGGTTTGAATTATATCACTTCAATCCACAACAAGTTCAAGAGGATGCAAAAACAATTTTGTTCTTGTCATTGGAATTCAAATTGTCTCTAAGTGTTGATTTACATATATCTTGTGTCTAAGTGTTGAAATAAAGAAAAGTGACAAGAAGGATGCTTCGAGTCTGACCTCCACTTGTCGTTGAAGTGCTTGTACATGATTTATGATCTCATCCAGCACCATTGCAGTACCAGAAATCTACGGGAAAAGGAAAACACGATTCGTTTTTACACATTCATTAAGAAATAAACACACATCAATGAAAAGGATAATCATATTTTAAGAGTTAAGCACTAAAGTTCAACAATTGCTTCATATTGATTGGCTAATAACAGTCTCATGCTGCAGTCCCTTTGTTTTGTGTTCAAGTCAAGCGAGTTTTCAAGCCATAGCACAGACGAGGATTTTAAAAGTTCAACAGAAAAGGGGAAAAAAAGAAGAAGCAGATGAAATTCTAATTCTTGGATTGAAGTACAAAAAAAACTACAACAGCAGCATTACAACTTCTTTATTAATTCTTTTATTATTTTACATAATTATAATTCCTGCATCTTAACCCCTACCCTTGAAAAGACAACTTTTAAAATTTGGCTACAATCTGAAAAGACAACTTTTAAAGTTCACCTTCAACTACTACGCGAACATTATAAGAATTAACAACCAGCTCAAGAAATATAAAAAATAGAACCAGAAATTAAACCCAAATATTCAAGAGGGATCTTAAAAAACAGACCCCGACCAATATGATAAGATGCTAGCTACAAGTGATAAGATATTGTGGTTTAGTGGGTCACAACAATATCCTCAGAAAGCATGGATAACAGACAGAGGAAAGGCCAAAAGATGAAAATGTGGTGCAAGGATCATGAGATTGACACTTCAACGGCCCACCACTTTTCTTGGTTCAAAAGCCATCAGCTTTTTCTTTCTTTTCCTCAATTAAAAAGTTAACAGCTACCGTTATAAATTAACAAATATCTAATATAAACAATACTTTTTGACAACTAAAAAAGCTTACTCTAACCATCAGTAAAAAAGTAGTATAATCAAGACAAAAAATGATTTTCCAATAATCATCCATTAATTACTAACTTCCTCAAAAAAATCTGAATTCCAACATTAATCCACTACAGTATTTAGCACTTCAAAAATGACAGGGCTCGACAGCTTACCTTGTTGCATCCTGGGACCAGTTCCTGCAATAGCTTCATCCTGGCATTGATCTTCTCTCTCCTGGCCTGCAAAATTCAATTGACATTGACATTTATGAGTTATGACTATTATTCAAGATCAAGAAAATGATTAAAGACATGCTTAGGAGTTTGGAGGATTACCCTCTCAGCTAAGCTATGGCTATCAGTGGCTTGCCCACGACGGGCTCTGACATGAACATACGGCAGCTTCTCACCACTCGCTTCAGAAGCTTCATTTGCTACTGCTTTTTTGTTCTTTTTAGTTGGTTCTTTAACCTTGAAGGCACAAACAAAGAACTTCATATCTAAACAAAATATCAATGTGATACAAAACAAATAACTTAAACTCGAATAGCTTCAGTAATTCCAGGTTTTAAACCCGATAATGCTTAAGATGATAGCAAATTAAACTATAAGAGTAAGCACCAAATAACACATACTCTTAATTGAGCTCATGCAGTGTTCAGATGATTATGTTTCTGTCAAATAAACAGCAGTGATAGTTTAGAATTTACCTTCTTTTCCCTCTCCTTCCGCTTGCCAGACTTCAAACTCTGATTCGAAACAGCCGGTGAAGAGGAATTCAGGTGTGAGTACGACTCAGGCGGCTCTTGCTTCACTAAATCTAGCTTCATCGAGCTTGAAGCCGACAAAATCATCGTACTCTCTACGGAATCACCAGCCGGAGCGTAGGTGGAGAGCCGGGAGGCTCGGTCAACGAGGGCAATATTGGAAGGAAAAATCGGAGGGGGCATGGACTTCGCCGGAAAGTCCTCCTTGATCAAGAGCTCCATAGCCTGCGGCGGAGGAAGCTCAAGGAGTGCCGTGAACGAGCTGCCTTCCGTCTCCAGTGGGCCGGATATCATGCTATGGATTTCCTCAATCCGGAGATCCATTTGCCCGGGCTCGGGCCCGGAAATTTCGGATCCAAACTGTGGTGGGCTCACCTCAAATCCTCCTTCCATGAACTGGGGATCTAGACAGCTAAATCTACGTTCAATTCGTGATGCCCAATAAAAAGTCAAGGCACCGATGTTCGAACCTCACTTCAGATAACTCGAAAAACGCCCAAAATTGCTCGCAATGCGAATTGGAAATGACACCTAAGAAAAAAAAATCGGAACGGAAATAGAATTCGAAATCTTTTTGAATGTCGCCGGAGAAATTACAATGTACAAAAGGGACGCCAATACCCAGCTCAACCGCCGCCTAGAGCAACCGGAAAATTCGAACAACCCGAACGAAATTCCGGCACTATTTGCCAGTTACCATTGTAGAAATGCTTCAAGAACTCGTTGGGTCTGCAGGATACGAAGAAAATAAGGAGATAAATGAAGGCTTCTTGCAGCTGCAGCTAAAAATTCTCCTTTTTTTTCCTTCTTTTTTTTCCTGCTGAAAGCTCCGATTTCAATGGCGGTCAAAGCCTACGCTTCTGATTACTTTCTCTCTCCACAGTGTCTGTGTTTCAGTGTAAATGGAAAAATGGGTTCGCCTTTTTTTGTGCTCTTTCTGCTGTCATCAGTTTATATCAGTGGACTCGCTACACCTAACTGTGTGTACTGCTGTGTGTGAAAGCTACATTTGCAGTTTGGTCCCTGATCTCTTTGCGTCTTTCTCTATCGACGCCCCTCAATAATTCACTTCTTACAATAATATCCCATTTCATTTTATTGCTGGTCTAAATTAGGGTGGGTGGTGTTTATAGTTTATACACATAAAGATATATACAATTTTTTTTACAATGAATAATTAAAATTGTTAAACAAAACAAGTCGTTTATAAGCTTAATTATTTTAATAAATAAGTTAAATGCGAGCTCATTTAGTTAGAGGCTTAAATATAGACTTTTACGTTATATTTTGTAACTCATTTCTATGAAAAATGAGTTTGGATCGAGTTCGACTCATATTAATAAGCTAACCAAGCTCGTTTAGTTAAATCTCCCTCGGGTTTAAGATAAAATTCGATTCCGCTCATTTACACCTCCAAATATAATTGATCCATAAGAAATTGTATTTTTGTTTTTCCTTTTATACCTCAACTCAATAGTCTCACTTGAGTGTAATAAACAATTAGGGCATCCGTAATACGGATTCATTTCCGTGCGTTTAAACGGCCCCCAAGTTAATCTGCGTTGCGGCTCATCCATTAAAAAGGGAGGCCCACCTAGTGGAAAAAATACTTTTTATATGGGGTGAAAATGACTTTTTATATCGGTTTCAGCTTCGATATAGTTTCAGCCCATATAATAAGTGTCATATTTTTATATCGAGTAATACCGCAGATAGAAAGTAGACTTTTTATATCGGGTGAGTGAATCACCTCATCTAGAAGATACATCTGGAAAGCCGGATTATAGAATACTCGATATAGAAAATGTATTTTCTATATCGGGTGAATGAATCACTCCATATAAAAAATATCTTTTTATATGGGTTGAACATCGAACCCGATATAGAAAATCATATTCTATATGTTGTTTTTGAACCGATATAAAAGATGTAAGATTTTATGTGTAGTATTTATGACCGATATAATTTCTTTTAGTATCGTACTTTATTACCCGATGCAAAAAGTAGATAAATGGTCTTTATGACCGATATAATTTCTTTTAACATCGTACTTTATGCGTTCACTTGGCTGAACGTGTTTAATTGTTTTCTTTTTTTTTAAATCATTCTTTATTTAATCTTTTTTCTTTATGTTTTAATATTTAATTAATTTTTTATCTATCTCACACTTTCCAATGTGTATCAATAATAATTTATATTTTCTATCCTCCATTTTTTGCTAATAAATATGCCTCATCTTTACACTTCTCCTACGCTAAAAAATTTAATAAGTGCTAATCTTAGTAATCCAGATGAAATTCTATTCTTCCAAAATTCACAAACTTCGCCAAATTTACCATTTTCACAATCTTCTTATCCTGCACAATTTTTCCTACAATTCCCATCAAATTTCCCTTTTTCGCAACAACAATCCCGAAATTATCCAATTTTCACCGATATTCAATATTCACAACTAAAAAAATATTTGGACTCATTTAGCCAACAACTAAAAAAAATATTTTTTGTAATTGTACTACTTTTTTTTCTTGTGTAATCTTAATTTAAGTTAATTTGGTCTTGTAGTGCTCTTTCATTTTTTCATTCATTTAAAATTTATTATTATTTTATTTTTAAAAATATTAAATTTTTTATTGAATATGAATGTGTAGGAATGTGGGTGTGTGTTTAAATGAAGAGAGATTTAGTGGAAAGATAATGTGGACATTATGTGGATGAGAGAGAGTTACTTTTTGATTGAATAAATGATACTACCTCCTTTTTTTTTATAAATGTCATTTTGGTTTCATCATCAATTGTCTAAATAAATGACGTTTTGGATCTTTTGTACATATTTTTCCATTATTATCCTTATCTAACTAATAAATACACTATGCCTTTTCATATTCATTCTTTATCTTTTCTCAAAACATCTATCTCTATCCTCATTAATGAGGGTTATTATTGACAAAAAAAATATTCTTAATTAGTGTGAAACTTCCCAAAACGACATCTATTAAAAAAAAGAGGGAGTATTGGCGTTAAAAAGTTGTGGATGCCCTTATAATAAAAAGAAAAATGATACATAGACAACCTAATGTACAACTAAGTTGACAACACAAATAGAAAACATCCACTTTTGTATTTTTTATTTTTATTTGTGTGGATATTTTTACTTGTGTTGTCGACCTAGTTGTACACTAGATTGACAATGTAGAATTTCTCTAATAAAAATTTGGACAAGAAGACTATTGTATTCAAGCTGAGTTGGGTGTTTGATTTATATATATTGATAGACTATATTGCTAATTTATGTATGTATAAATGTATTTTCTCCAATTAAAATTATACAACACTCAATAATATCGGAATTTTAGATGTTTCATGATTCAAAATTGTAATTATAATTTTCGCAAAAAAAATAAAATAAAATTGTAATTATAAAGGCTCAAATATTATTGTTGTCTGCGCGTCAATTATTGC